TTGTACAATACAATTTAGTAAAGTCACACGAATAAATGTTGATTTTGTTGTTTCACAAACTTTTTATTTTATTACAGAGCACATTCATAGGCAGGAACTTTGAATGTTTTTTTTTTCTTTGCTTCTTGGGCTGACTGGGTGAACCGAGAGGAACTGAACAGAGCTTGTGATTGGACAATGAGAAGCAAATTAGCATACGGCTCGCGTTTTTGAAAGGAACACGCAAAACAAGCGGCCATGATTTCCTCTGCTTATTAGTCGCTTCGAGCAAATTACAGTTGTTTTTGCGTCCCGATTTATGGCTGCACATAAAAAGGAATGTAAGGTTCGAGTGCTAGTGCGCTTGCGACCCGAAAGTGCTGACTATAAAGAAAAAGAAGGGAGCCATCAAGATGGAATTCCCGATCGTTGTGTTCGAGCTGTGGATTCTTCAACACTGGAATTGTGGAATTGAAGAAATTCTGAAGAGTCAATTCGCTACCGGTGAGTGTTAAATATGAGGATAGCCGTAGATCACGTTATGGGAAACTCGACAGGATTTCAATGAAATCGCGGCTTTGATACCATGCGGACGATTCGTTAAATAAATTAAAAGCAAACGACGATAAAACAGCCGATAAAACATAACCTCACATTCTTCTGAAAACCAGATATACAGTAGGGTATCCGGTCACTTTGCTCCATGGTTAAATCGCTCCAAGTCAGTTCGCTCCAACGCGTATATAGATTATTCCTCGTTCTTTCATCACTGTACTGCCAAGCCAAGCTCGGTTTGCTGAGGTAGCGAATTCGGCCTGTGTGGTTGGAGCGAACTGACTTGACAGTGATCTAACTATGGAGTGAAATGACCGTAATTCGTTGGTAGACTTGGAATTTTAGCTTCTGCGTAACCTTAAATTATAAGTTTTGTAGCGTTCTGACCGGACAGGAGACCTCTAAACTTGCACTAGAAATGTAATTCGTACTGTCATGTAGTTTTCCTAAAATCGCATCAGTTTTTAAGCTACTCAATTAGTCACACTGGTCAGATGTTTTTCGTTTGAGCTTTCTTATTTTAATTGTCTGCCCTATGTTCTTCAGATTCAATGGCTTTTTTGATGAAGACAGTACACAAGAGACATTGTACCACAACTCAGTGTGCCCGTTGATTCCTTACGTTCTACAAGGCCACAATGCCAGTGTGTTTGCATATGGTCCCACTGGGGCAGGTATGGAGATCTTTCAGTTGTAAACTTCCTTACAAAACTATCTGTCCGCAATAGAACGTATAATAAAAAACAAAAACCCTAATAAGACAGAGAAGCTTTTCTGTGAGCGACATCTCCATTAATCCATTAAAAAAAGTCAATTGTCAAAAAAAAAAAAAACTAACAGACAGACAGACAGACAGACAGACACACAGACAGAGAAATAACCTGCCTCCCTAACCCCGGAGCCCAGCCCTTGTTGAAACCCCTGTACCCTGCACATGTGAGAAATTCTTGATCTTTGCAGTTTCTGTTACTAAAAACTATGAATCCAAAACTGCAACGTTGTTACCAGGCACTCTCATCTTCCAGCCCTTCTCTCGCACTCTCGCTCCATGGGGTAGAAAGATGAGAAACCCTGGAAACGAGATTGGCAAAACTGTGGTCATAATTCAATATGAACTGAATCCTTATTTCTCCTTTTATGACATGAAATGAAGGAAAAACACACACAATGTTTGGATCACCAGAGCAACCAGGTTAGTAGAATGTTCTGGCTTTCTATCGAGTTGATAAAGGTAGACAATTTAGTACCTTTATTAACCGCCTTAGCAAGGTTGTGAAGCTGATGTGTTGAGCATTGGCCCTTTATCTGAGCGAAGGGCTAATACTTGGAATGTCAGCCTTACAAGCACACTTCAGAAATTAATTTATCTTTGTCTTCAAGTTGATAAAATGTATTATAGCTAAGTGTTCTGCTTGCCTAACAGTGTAGACCAACAGTTTCTTCGGACATCAAATCTCTTCTCACATCTTGGTGTTTTACTCACATTTTTTGAGCCTCTCTCCATAGATTATAATTTGAAGACTGTGACGAGTGCATAGTTCAAGAATCAAGGCATAATGAACTAAATATTTGATCAAATATTAAATGAATTTGTAAAGAAATACTAAATACCCTGCAAGCCACTGCAAGTGATATTAACAGTTTCATTACTAATAAAAAATTGTGTCTGTATAATAGAATCTCCACTTTTGTTTTGTTTTTCTACTAACTTTTGCAGGATTAATACCAAGATGTGCAGCTGAATTGTTCAAACTGATAGATTCACACTTGGATTCAAATTCACATTGGAAATACAAGGTTTTCTTTTCATACCTGGAGATTTACCAGGAAAAGGTGGCTATTATACTATTTTATATAATAATCAAATGAATGCACGTGCTCTGATTGGTCAATCAGCTATGATTTATTGTGCCAGTAAACTCATGGAAATTTCGCGTGTCTTCTGAATTATTATATAAAGGCAATAGACCACAAGTTTCTATGGTTTAGAGGCATGATAAACCACTTGGGATGTTGGCAGAACACTCAAAGAATTCGTAAATCACTCACCTGTGGCTCGTGATTTGAATTCTTCTTGTGTTCTTCCAACATCCCACGTGGTTTATCAGCCTATAAATCATAAAAACTTGTGGTCTATTGCTTAAATATATCATATATTATTACACCATACACAGGAACAGGTGACCGTTCTTCACAGTATTTTTCTGACAATTATTATTAATAAATTTTTACAGAGCTCTCGCGAGATGAGAGTCTCATCTTGCGAGACTAGAATCTGGTCTCGCTAGAGGGTGGTAACTTACTTTTGAGCGGTACTGTAATTAGAGGGTAGGTTGACAGAAGGAGATCAGCAATAAGAGATCTTTATTTTGACCCTCCCTGTCCCTTTAGTAACCCCCTTCATGCTTTCACCTTTGGCACACTTCACTTCACTTTGGAATTGAAGTAAAAAACATTTAGTTTAAGAATCAAGATTTATAATAGGTATTTGTAACTGAAGGACACATTGCCTCTTTTTTTAACCTGACATTGTGAAGTGTATGTACTTACTGATTCTGAAGATCTGATCTTGGTATCAGATTAAAGACTTGTTGGATCCCAAGAAAGATGATTTACCAATAAGACAAGATCGGAAACAAAATATCATCATACCAAATTTAACAGAGGTAAAGTTGATAGTCTTACAAGCACTTTAACAACACATTGTCATAATTAATTTATCTAATTCTCTTCTAAAGCAAAATGTTTCTTTTGTTGGTAATGTTCCATTTTTCACACCTTGTGAAATTAATGTCTGATGAAAATTGTCGTTCTTATCTCCCAAAAGATCTCCTCCCCCCAGAGATGATATAATTGCATACATGATTGCACAGGTCTACAGTCATGTGCTAGGTATTCTTAAGTGGCCGTGAGTCAGCGGCTTCCTAGATATCATCTGAATGTACACCAGAACTACTGACAACACATTACAAGAAGCCGTAGAGAATGCATACCATATCAGCAGGTCATATATGTATCAACCAAAATTAATAAGACATGTCAAAAAGTTGAACTTTAGTTCATAGTATAATCATAAATGAAGTTCTTTTCAGGATTGGTACCTTAATGATGGCACGTGTAACTTGTTGAACACTGTTCATTCTAGTAGTATGTGGGATGCATGTCATATATGAACCCATTAAATGGCCTAGTTCATGGAGAGTCTCTCTGTAGCTTGGCTTTTAGAGCACCTGACGGGTATATCGGGAGTTATGGGTTTGAATCCCATCATGCGCTCAGATTGTTTCCTTGCCTTACGCTTGTGACATGCTGAAAATTTCACGTTTCTTTCAGATGCCAATAGAAACTCTGGGTGAATTTATGTCCTTATTTGAAAAGGCCAGTCAGCAGAGGTTTGTATGTTTAATTGCTGCCCATGTATCACTTGGGAATGAAATTGAATGTTTAAAATGATACCTGAGAGGAAGTGATGGTTGACAAGCATTTTCTCAGCTTATCTGGACTAATAATATTGAAGTTCCTTGAAACCAAACAAAGATGTGTACCTGTCAGTGGGTTGGTTTTGATCCTTGCAGGAGATTCTCGTAGTTTTGATTCATAATTTTAATAAGTGGTTTACTAGGACACATGAAGTAGCTAGCCATCCCAAAGGACCAATAATTTGCTGTCTCAAGAATGAGGTTTTAAGTTAAATGAATGACATTTAATAATAAGTTGCTGCTAATTGAACAGAATCTGCTGAAAATTATTTTAACATTTGTTACTTTTTTTTTCCATTTAGCAAATAATGGAATATAATAATTTAGAGAAGTTGTATTAAATGTGATAATCTTTTAGGAAAACTGCAGCTACAAAGCTGAATCCACACTCTAGTAGAAGCCATTCTATTGTGTTGATGAAGGTACTGTACTGTACATTTTTTTCTTACTAAAAATCAGTCAGTGACAAACCATTTTTGAGAGAACTGGTCAGGACCTTTTTCTTTCAAGTAGTTTATGCCACTGTAATACTGTAGCAATATTCGTTTGCACGCATTGCGGTCCTGTGGTTTTAGGTAATACGTGTAGTTTTGAATTCTCTTCAGGTTCAAAAACAGCAGCAGGTAGCACCATTCACAAAACTCAGTGGAAAGTTTTACCTTATTGACCTGGCAGGATCAGAGGACAATAGAAAAACAGGAAATGAGGGAA